GAAAGGATAGCTGAGGGTCAAACAAGACGCCAAGGTTTCGGACTGGCTCAGTGAAGTGCATCCTTGGATGGTGATATAATGTTGCATATTGAGTACCAGTTAAACTAAGATTCATGTTTTGCCTGTCTCTGTTGTCCTGGGTTAATTATTTAAAACCAATTGTGTGAAACTGCTTAAACGTCGCATTTGTTACATTTGCTTTCAACTTACATACATATTTAAGTTATGGACTCTTAGGTTTATTCTCAGCTGAATTGGTACAATGCCAAGCATTCACAGTGAGGTTATAGAATTTGCTGTATCATTCAATATAAATAGGATGGTAATGATAGAAATCTACACTGAACTCTCGTTTTGTAGAAACCTTGCATTAATAAAGGTACAAAGCTAATTTGTAATGAAATTATGATTTACAGAAGCTCATATCCTTGGCAAATAGTTCCACTCCTTACTGGTTCCAAAGGAGTTTGAAGTCACTGGGCCCTGTTTTAATCCTAATCTACTGGAGAGATATGGAGGAAGGAAATTGCTACTGTAATAATAGCTGTCATCTGTTTCATAAGACTTTTCCCAAACTGATGATGGGGAAGGATATCAGAATAATCCAATCTGAAAGCACCTCCAATCTTCCCAATCTCGGTGCCTCTATATTCATTGTACCTTCTACTTCCCGTGAACTGTAATTACTTTCAAATAACATGCATTTTTGTCTCTTGTTTGACTTTCATGCTGCCTGTTCCCCAAATCAATTATTAGAATTTTCTTCAGGTGATGAAAGTTGACCTGTCTTCATGGGTCTCCTTTTGCCAACATAAAAGGGTATTAAGCAGTCATTTATGAAATTGGATTATACAACAATTAGCTAATTACCTCTGGAGTTGGCCTATTTCCTCTCGGGCAGGGAGGAGACAACCTAATGAATGTTTTGATCATAAAGAGGGATTGGGTGGGTGGGAGTGGAAGAGAGAGGTATTGTACAAAATGTGCAATCGACTCTGCCTGCCTTTATACTGTGTTTATACGAAAAGTATGGTGTGAATCCATATTGAGCCAACAATGACAACACCAAGCCCCATGTCAGAACTTGGAACCACATAGTCTACGATGACACTCCAATGCGGTGCTGGGAGGGTGTTGCATTGTCTGAGGTGCTGAGAACCTCAGCCTGTTCAAGGCCTGTTAAAGATCCCATGGCACTATTTGAAAAGAAAAGGAAGTTTTTCCTGGTGTTCTGGCCAACAAATTTGCCTAATAAAAATTGGTCTCTCACCCCAATGGCTGTTTATGGAACAAACAGGCTCCCACTTTTTGCCGACAAAATACACAATCAATCCACTTTACATTATTGATGACGTGATAAGGCCCTATATCAAATGCAAGGGTTATTATCTGTATTACTATTATGAATGCACATGACCGTCACAAAGTTGACACTGGCTCTGGTCCTCAGTGGTTCCTTGAAAGTACATGTGTAGCCCAGGAACCTTCAAGAGCCTACTATTAACAAGCCATTCAGTCAGGCAGTAACATCAGCATGAGAGAGTGCAATTCTGAGCATGCACTTACTTGGTTATTGATGAAGCCATCATAAACTGTTGGAAACTATGGGAGTACATGGCCACATCTTGGATTTTATCTATGAGGTACATTTCGAGCTCCAAGATCTGGGTGAGGTTTGATGAGAGACTTATTGAGCCTAACCCTCTCAAAAGAGGGATAATGCAAAGCTGTCCATTGTAGGTCACTCTATTCAAGGGATTCAACAATGGTATATTGGATGGTATTGAAAAGGACGGACTTATGTGTCTGTTCTAGGCATTTTCAATAGAATTGCACTGCTTTGCACTGCTTCTGTTTGGAAGTGATGCAATGCTGTTGGTGCATTCACCAGTTAAATTATTAGAAATTTCTTCTAGCCAATATGATAAGGAGAGAGTAGAGAGGTATAAATCAGACTTCATCTGCATTGCATGCCTCTACTACTGAAAGCAATACCTCCTTGTTTTCTACTGCAGAAATACATGTTATCTGTATTGGAAGAGGCGTCTGTTTTAAAATGGCGTTGTTATGGGAACATGTGGAGCGAGTGAAACTTTTCTTGTTTATGTAGTGGGAAGAGGCAGAAAGAAGCGTTAGTATGGTTTATATCAGTGTGTGCTCCCAGGTGCTACCTGCGCGAAGAAAGGAACCATGTGAATGCAAGTTGTTTGTAAATAAATTAATATAGGATTGCCCAATACTTATTCATGAGACTGTATCCCTTTAAAAGTATATAGGACTCTCTGAAACTTTTGGCATTAATGAATTTGGTGGGAAAGGAAATTAGATATGGTTTAATTGACTGTATTGTGTTTACTTTTAATGGACACCATCATTGTCACGTTAAAAGTGGCTGTCACAGCAGCCATTAGTTTTAAAGCTGCAGAATCTCTTTACGTTGATTGGAACTTTTTTAAAGTCTGAAGCATTTGCATTTAAATTTCTGTTTCTAAAAAAAGGTTTTACAACAGTGCCTGGCAGTTCCTGCCCAGTCTTTTGTTTTACAATTTTCAATGACGTCAGTCCTTTGATGCTGATTCCTCTCAATTATGGAATCCGGACCTGGCATCACAAGTTTTTTCTCTGTATACCTGTACACACAGCTGCATTGATGGATTCGCAGAGAGAATAATTAACACTGATCCTTCACCAAGCATTGCATGACAAACTATTTTCAGTGGAATATCGTTCACTTCAGAAGTGCATGCAGCACACTCAACATCACCAGTAAACTTCATAAAGAGCTAGAATGGAGGTTGGGGTGCTTTAAGGAACAACTAACAAAACTGAATGTTAGATTAAGTATGTTTATAACTCCTGTGAAGGTATGAGTTTGGGAAATGTACTAACAAATCCTGAGGTTGTTGAATTTCGATCTTTGTTGTTTATCTGTGTTTTAACGGGTGTTTACTCTGTGTCAACTCGCCAGATTCTCTGTCTCCGGGACTGAAATGCAATCCTTTGTTTGCTTTACAGGAATGCCACTGTAGTAAGAATAGTGTTAATTCAAGGCACTCAAAGGACCTTTTCTTCATCTTTTGATAGTGGTCTAATCTTCCTTTTTATGTAGGAGATGACGCTTTCCTCCCAGTGTAATCAGCCTTGTACATGTGTGCCAGGTTATTTCAAAGCATGAAAGTGAACAGTGAAGTATCTGAGCGCTTAAAACTGAAGTATCCAATTGATGCTGATTGTGACAATGATACTAATTGGGATGTGCCAGCTGGTTCGGGGCCTAATTAAATGCGGACACCCACAGTTTATCCTGGCTTCTTCATCAAACAATCCATCAAGTTTCTGTCAAATACAGTTCCTTTAAATAATGCACAAAAGCAGGGTTCATGCACAGCGAGCAGCACCAATAGTGTCTGGAGTTTTTCAGTTTCTCTAACAAGCTGTGCAAGATAAAATGGACCACTGTCACTTTCGTAAAACCCATTTGGACTTTCCTGAGAGCCAGTTAATCTCCTTTCCATATCCAGCTCAGTGCTTCGTTGCCAAGTGAATACTATCATTGTGATCATTTAAATCTACCAAATATACCTTTATAGGTTATTAACCATGTGATTCTGCCTTTTAGCAGTGCATGAGAGTAAGTAACATTTGTACCTTTAAACAATCAGGAATGAGAAACTCCAGACATGTAACTTCACTGGGCTTTTTTTTACTGGGTGTTGCTTAGAGATGGGGATCCCTGTTTAGATCTGAAGAGTTCACAAATAACTGAGAAACATGGGTGAATATATAAGGAAACTGAGCAGACAATTGTAAAAGAATTAGTGCGCACAGTAAATGTGCTGTGTGGGCTAGTCAGCAAATACACTGGAGGAAAATGAGGCCCCATAAAGATTACAGGAGAGCCTTGGGTGAAGAGGCTGCCTTTACTGAAGCCAGTTTGAGATGTGGCTGTGGCTGAGTGAATAATCCAGATGAGAGAGTGTAGAACCGTTTGCTACTACCATTTGGTTCATTTTTGTCGTTCGATCCCGACTTTGTTCACAGAACAGTGAATGAAAATAATTTCCCTCAGAAGTTGCTGGGGTACGAGTCCAGTTGATCTGCTGTGGATTTGGGAGCTGGTGGAGCTGGGCAAGGATAGTTGTAATGGGCTTGTGGAGCCTAGTGCGAGGAGAATGCAAGGTGAGGAGTTCTAGGTGATCTGGAGCTTGTAGAGGCCTGTGAACAGGGAAGGCGTGCATTGGGGCCGAGGAAATGATGAAGGTGGGTGATGTTGTGGAGATAGAGGAAAGCAGACTTAGTCAGAGCCTGGATGAAAGGTTTAAAGAGAGTAAAACGTCATGAAAATTTGAGGTTCTTCACAGTTTGATTCTTTGCATGTTGGAGTGAGCAACCAGCTAGATTGGTCTGGTCAGCGCCTGAGATGAGGAGGCACTGGTAGGAGTGAGAAGGATCACCTCAGTGTTGTCAATGTTGGGTTGGAGAACGTTAAGACTCATCCAAGACTTGATGTTTGAAAGGCAGACTTGATGCTGTCATAACAGTACTGGCTGTGGAATTCAGCGTGGAAGGCAGAAAGCTTGCGTTGGATGTCATCTGCGTACACGCAGAGGTGACCCCCGTATGTAGATATTTAAATATTTATTTGAGAAATAAAATAAAATCTAATCGCCTCTTTGTTGACAGAGTATGTGGTAGCAGTAACAGCTGCTGCTGTATGCATTTCATTGTTGACCGTCACAAGAATGGCAGGTGTTGATGAGTTGACTCGGCTAATATAGATCTCAGTGAGAGCAAATGGAGGCCCGCTGAGCTGAGCCTCACTGTACATCGCTGCTATTCAGGCTTCTCTTTAAATAGAAGTGTTGATTCTTCAGGAACTATAGCGATGTGAGTGAAACTGTAATATAATAAACACTTTGATTCCCCTGCCTATGAATCTTTGGAATGATAATGTGTGCAAAGTTACTACATTTCTGACATGTTCTGTACCGCTTTTCCAGGTGACCACTGTGAAATGAGTGCTCGGTCAGGCCGCTGTGCTCCTGGAGTTTGCAAGAACGGAGGGAGCTGCATCAATCTGCTTGTTGGTGGTTTCAGATGTGAATGCCCATCTGGCGAGTACGACAGGCCATACTGCAAAATGACCACCCGCAGCTTTCCAGCACAATCGTTCGTAACTTTCAAGGGCTTACGGCAACGCTTCCATTTCACTGTCTCTCTTATGTGAGTACAAATCGTTTAAGGTAAAATCATGTGGTTGCATACATTTCATTGTGAATGGAAACCTGAGCTTTACAGGCCAGTAAGATACTCTGGTCTGTGCTGATGTTGTTGATCTTAGCTGGGGTGTGATCTTAGTTAGGGTCTTGGCACCCCAGGACTAGGGAGAGAGAAAACAGGAAAACGTTATACAATCTTTACTGCCCACCTCAAGAAGAGGCAGACAGAGACTTGTTTTACTGTTTTGTGAAAAGGAGATGCCTCCAAAAATGCAGGTTACCCTGGAACTCGAGTGTCAACCTAGAGTTCATGATCAAGTCCTAGGCTGCTCATAAAGCAGTGAATTGCTTTAAAATGTTTTCCAGCACTGATGAGAATCACCCTTGAAAACATGAGTATGAATAATACAAAAACTGCTGAGTAGTTAAGTCTTAGATAACTTGCAACAGAGCTTCTGAACACCTCAGAGTTCCATGTACTTCCTGAATTAGATCCCCCAAAATGTTCCATTCTGTATGATGCTTAAGATTAGTTCTGCCAAATTATTGCAAATACTCCCCACAGTGTTTCACACACTATAAATTGCCCCTTGATGCCACCTGCTCCTCCCTCCATGCAATACTAAAAGAAGTAAATCCAGCTGAGTTCTTTTCTAGTGCCCTGAGTTCACCTGGGTTCAATTCCTTGGGCAAGTTTCCTTACTCCACACGCCTAATAATAATTCCTCCAAAAACAAAAACAATAATAAATTGTTCATTTTCAATCCACGACTGTTTGTGGGACACTGCTGTGCGCAATTGGCTGCCGCGTTTCGCCTACAAATATACAGTCAATTCACTTTACATCATATTCTGTGAAGCGCTTTGAGACGTCAAGAAGACGTGAAAAGCGCTATATCAAATGCAAGGATTATTATTATTATTATTATTATTATTATTATTATTATTATTATTATTATTATTATTATTATTATATCAGACTAATCTATTAAACATGTCAGCCTTGTTGACCTAACTGAGCACTGATGGATGCTGGTACTGCTTTGTCTTCCGGCTGTTGGATAGTTACCAACCCTATTATGCACCAGAAAGCAGAACACGAGCAGCAGCAATCTATTTAATGTCTATAGATTGGCAAGTGGAGTCCTGTAGCTCAGTGGTTGAGCACTCGCTTTGCAAGCTAGAGACCTGAGTTCAATTCCAGGCAGGGCGAAAGCTTGGGCAAGTTTCCTTACTCCACACAGAGCCTAATAATAATCCCTCCAAAACCAAAAACAATAATAAATTGGTCATTTTCAATCCACGACTGTTTGTGGGACATTGCTGTGCGCAATTGGCTGCCGCGTTCACCCACAAATATACAGTCAATTCACTTTACAGTGTGTTCTGTGGAGCGCTTTGGGACATCCTCCCGACGTGAAAAGCGCTATATCAAATGCAAGGATTATTATTATTATTATTATTAAGTGTGTGAGGCTGCATTAGCTGGATTTAATGGAGGACTCATTATGAGTGGAGTTAAAATGCTAACTTAATTACTTGGCAAAGGGTTTTTACATTTCTGCTGTGAGTGTTACTCTGCGTCTAAAGGACCACCCTTCACTGGCATTCAGTCTGCTTCCTCATGAAGCTGAGATTTTAGTATTGGATGGAGGGAGGAGCAGGTGGCATCAAGGTGCAATTTATAGTGTGTGAAAAGAGCATTTAACCATATTTAGCTGACTGAGTGCATATCAGTGCATTTCAGGTATCAGTTGGTTGCACTCTCACTTCTGAACTAGCAAGTTGTGGGTTTAAGGTCCATGATAGGACTTTGACCTAGGCTGACACTCCAATGCAGTGCTGGGGGTGAGCAGCGCTGTTGGGTATGGCATCCTTCAGATAAATTGTTAAACTAAGGTTCCATCTGCTTGTTCAGGTGGATATTGAAGGCCCCATGGCACTACATGAAAAAAGAAGGGAGTTTCTTCCGGTGTCCTGACCGACAATGCCCCAAATAAAATTGGTCTTTCAATTCATGGCTGTTTGTGGGACATTGGCTGCTGCATTCACCTACAAATTACACAGCAACTACATATTACAGTAAATCCTGTGATGACTTTGAGATGTCATCCCGCTGTGAAAGATGCTTTACCAAATGGAAGGATTATTATTATTCTCTCCACTCTCACCCTAGAGAAAAGAGATTACGTGGAATTACATATGAGAGGGACAGAGTGGCTAAGATGGGAGGGAGAGAATAAAGTAATCAAAGAAGCAAAGCAAAAAGACTTTAGGAACAGGAAAGAGAACTGCAAACTAGGAAAATAAACATTGTCATTTTTCCATTTAAAAAAAATGAAAGCACTATGTGTAAATGCAATGGACATTTAGCTTCTAAACTTTGAAGTGTTCTATACATTTCCTTAACAGGTTCCCCTGAAATTAGTTCTAGAAAGTATCCAGCGATGTTATAAAGGGAAGCTGTTTTGTTTTGGTGACCACTTGTAAATTTAATTGAAAAACCTTCCTAATCAAGGTTGAATGACTTTTTTCTATAAAATCAGCACAATAAGGCAAGTGAGCTGTAATTGAATACACTTGCATAGATTGCCTATCCATCAGCGAACACCACATTTGAGGGACTCTCCTCTCTTAATCAGTTATTTACAAGTTTCACTGATATTGCTATTAATACTTTCCTAGTGATTCCAAACCAGGGGGTATTATAACCTATTTTTAGGATGTTTCAGTGACAGTGACCTATATGTTCATCCAACAATTGCACATTGACTCTGTGTTTCAGGTAGGCTGTGTGTTCCTCTTCATTGACTGGCACTGGTTTGAATTCAATGCTCTGGCACTTTTCCAGTCAGTTATTTTTGAGAACATTTCTCATTCTCCACAAAAGAACCTTTGGTCGTCGTCTTGCACAGGAATCGTCTTGTGCATGTTAATGAACTAGGCCAGCTCTATAAATAATGGGTAACATGTTAAATTGTAACTTGCCATTTGTCCAATCTTATCCAAACTTTGGTAGACTTAGCAGAATATATTGGTGTCACCATGGAAGCAGTACTTTGTACCTAAGAGATTTCAACTGCTGTAAAGAATAAATTATTATTGCTGAGTCAAACCAGCTTTTAACACTGGGAGCAACAAGCAATCCAGATAACCCAGCCCTCAATTTTAACAGAATCCATTAAAGAATCAAAGTATTATGACATAACCATTTGGCAAGTCAGCAGGTGTGGGTATTCACTCAATCTCATTGTATTCTTTAAAGTATCTGTTTCTCCCGTTACTCAAAATCGAAGCCAGAGAAAGGGGTTCCATATATTTTCTGTGGAGGCATGTGTACAGCCCAGCCTTGCAAACTAAAGTGGATAAAAAGAACATTATAGGAAGGTTCTATAGTATTGTTGATTGTCTTTTTAACTGATGAAGGTTAACAGAAAATATGCGTAGATATCTGAAAGCCTTTTAATGATAAAACGACTCTGCACATTATGCCATTTGCCAGTTTTTTCGGCTTGTCCTTAACTGACATGAATGTGGTGCTTCACAACAGAACTGAAGATTGCAAGTGAGGATCAAAGAAATTAAATAAAGTAGATGGTGTGGAATGTTTGCTACAATTAGGTGAAGATTTATAATTTCTGGTAAAACTGGTTTGTTCAGTTTGTTTGGTTTGTTCACCTCCCCTCCTCTCCAGCTCGGGTCTGAAATGCTGTACACTGTCCAGTGCCTTGGGACATCCTCCCGATGTGAAAGGTGCTATACAAATGTAATCTTGTTGTTGTTGTTTGCTAGAGTTGTATATTTTTCTAATTCACTTCTTTATTACTCTAATACTTCTCTATTACTCTGTATTACTTTCTGACTTTCTCTGCAATCTTTTTCTTTCTTTCTCTGTCTGAGTCTCTTAACTTTCTATTTCTATGCTATCCCACGTTCAAGTATAAAGACTAATCTTCGTGGGAATTAATCTTTGTACTACACGTGCCCCCAAAACCTGTTGTGTGTGTGTGAGAAGTTGCATGCATATGCACAAGGTTGCTAAGAATACCGATCAGAGCATCCCTAACAATCGTAGACACAACTTTGCTCATGTACAGAACAGGATTTGTTTTGCAGGGTTCAACACAAACAAAATATTGGTCATTTTAGGTGAATAAGGTTCAGGAAAGATTTATTTCCCAAAACATCCGGAATTAATGTGGTGCCTGGTATACTGTTTGCAATTGTCCAGTTCACTGGAGCCAATTCCTCTTCCATAGAAGAGAGGCAGAGTATTTCAAGTGTTAATTTTCATCTTAAGGGTTACAACAAACAGTACCTGAGCAGGTATAAAGGAAATGCTAACCAAATGAAACATTATGGCACAGAAACAGACCCTTGAGCCCAACTAGTCCATGCAGCGTTTATATTTCACAATAGCCTCCATCCCTCCCCATGCCCTTCTGTTCTCTTCTCCCTCATGGATGCATCACATTTCCTCTTAAATACATTGATATTTTTGCTTCAACCACAGTTTCTCACCTTCCTTTATAAGTCCATCCATAAATCCTATCAGCAGGGGAATCGTGAATTTTGAAGTCATGTACCATTCTTTAAAATCCACTTGCCAGCACTTGAATGTGTAAAATACAGTGTGATTTGTTGATCACTAAAAAGAGTGATTTTCCTGTGGATGAAGGCAATTGTAGCAATTACTAGTAATTTAGCTGAGATGTGTTTTCCGTTTCACACAACAACTACTTGCACTTATATAGCGCCCTCCCGCAGGGTAGTGTCTCAGAGCACTTAAAACAGTGGTAGAGCCTGACTCCGAGCCGGTGGGGGGTAGTAGGTGTGGGAGGCTGCCATAAGCACGGACAAAAAGAAGGTTTTCAGGCAGGGCTTGAAAAAGGGGAGGGGGCAAGGCAGAGGGATTGAGGTGTAATGTTACACAAGGTGCCACATTATTAATTCAGCCATTGGGGAGATATTGAGGATGTTTTATGTAACAAATCATTAAAATGAAATTTTATCATTGACTGAACTAATTCACCATTCCATGCTAATGGGATTCATGGATTAATTTATAAAGGATCAATAGATTCATAAAGATTCATTAATAGATTTATGTGGTGAGAATATAACCAAATGCCTGGGATAAAACTCAATGTTGACAATTATTTTCCCTTGCTATTAAGCTGCCATTGTTCAATGCAGAGCTAAAATTATGCTTAATGTTAAATGAATATGAAAGAATTTGAACCATCTCCAGTGTGATCTCGAGGTCTGTAGTTTGAGCCTATAAGAATAGGTTGTTATGATTTTCTGAATTTATTTGAATGAATGGAGTGACATTATGTACCACATTAGGAGTTTGTTTGGAGCCAAGCACCATGCTGATCAACTCAATGCAGCTCAGACTTTCATGTGGGAAACCAGTTGCCTAAGTTTAAAGAAAGGAAGTAAAAGCTGCAATGAAAGACATCTGTAACCATGTACTGATACGCACGTCTGAACAGGACATGTATCGTCAATTTAGGAATAAAAGTCTCTGGAACGTATGAGGAAGTTTCACTTGGAAAGCTTCTTCTTCATTATCACTGTCATGTGTCTAATATTGTGTCGGATGAGGCCCCTCAAGGCATGTAAAGTATCAGTCTGACAATAAACTCTAATTCTTACAACTAATAAGTCTCTGGTAGGGGCTAAGTAGAAAGATTAACCTTTCAGCTCCGGTGGCTTAGTTAATTTAAAGATGATACCAGTAGTTTGAAAACCTCAAATGGTTTCTGCCAATGGGAGTTTAATACATTAGATTTATTGCGGGATGGCCAGTTTAAAGCACTGCTCTGTTATGTGCAGGGCTAAGTTCAGGGTCTCTGTATGATTTACTTTGCATTTAGATACAAACTACCCCTCACTATGCTTACTGATGGATATAGGAAGGAGGTATAGTTTTCAAAGTTTGATAAAGAACAGATTATTTCTTACGAACAGTGAAGATTAATTAATTATCCAAGATTAGCACATTTGCTAAGGATTTCTTACAGCAGGTACTTATTTTCCAGTCTTGTTTAATGGCAGTTAATAAGAAAATGAATGAAAATGGATGGCAGGCCATGCAAAGGAGCCACTTGTTCCTGCTACCATCTATAAATCTCATTTGCAACCTCTCCAATGCCTTGACATCCTTCCTAAAGTGTGGTGTCCAGAACTGAACACAGTACTATAGCTGAGGCCCAACCAGTGGTTTAGAAAGGTTCATCATAACTTCCTGACTGTGGTATTCTTTACCACTATTTATAACCTCAGTATCCCGAATGCTTTTTTAAAAGCTTTATCTACCTGTCCTGCCACCTTCAAAGATTTACTTATATGAACCCCCAGATCTGTCTCTCTGTTCCTTCACTCCCTTTACGATTGTACCATCAGCTTATATTGCCTTTCCTCATTCTTCCTCCCAAAATGCATCATTTCGCATTTCTCCACATTGAACTTCATCTATCACGTGTCTTTCTGCCCATTTTACCGATCTGTCTATGTCCTCTTGCAGGCTGCTACTGTTTACTACTTTTCCTGGCTTAGTACCATCTGCAAATTTGGAAATAGTACTCCCTGTACCCAAATCCAGGTCATTTATGTGGATCAAAAACAGCAGTGGTTCCAATAGTGATCGCTGGGGGACATCACTGCACACTTCCCTCCAGTCAGAAAAACAGCCATTCACTACCACTCTCTGCTTTCTGTCTCCCAGCCAGTTCTGTATCCATGCTGCCACTCTCCCTTTAATACCGTGGACTTCTATTTTGCTTACAAGTCTCTTATGCGCCACTTTATCAAATGCCTTTTGAAAATCCATATAAACTACATCAACTGCACTACTTTCATCCACCCTTTCCATTACTTTATCAAAAAACTCTATGAAGTTTGTTAGACACGAATTGCCTTTAACAAATCCTTGTTGGCTGTCCTTTAACCCATATTTTTCTAAGTGAAAATTAATTTTGTCACAGATTATTGTCTATAGAAGTTTCACTACTACTGATGTATTTGCAACCCTCCAGTCCTCTGGCACCATCCTGCTGTCCAGGAAGGATTGAAAGATTTTGGCCAGAGCCTCCGCTATTTCCATCCTTACAGCAACCTGGAATGCATCCTGTGCGGACTGGGTGACTTATCTACCTTGAGCACCGTCAATCTTTTTAGTACCTCCTCTTGGTTTATTATCTTATCTAATTTTTCTATCCTCTCCCCTGACACTGTGGGATTGGCTGCATCCTCTTCTTTTGTGAAGACAGATGCAAAGTACTCATTCAGTACGTCTGCCTCCATAAGATTTCCTCTTGATTATTATTTTTATCAGAAAAGTATGGGGAAAGAGCAAGAGAATATAATTATAATAGTTCCTATGGGGGACTAGTTTGAACCAGCACAGCCAAATAACTTCCTTCTGTTCTATTAACTTTCTACTGGAAAGTTTTTTTTAAAAAAATAATAATTTGGTCACACAATCCACGACTGTTTGTGAGACATTGCTGTGCACAATTGGCTGCCGTGTTTCACCCACAAATATACAGTCAATTCACTTTACAGTACATTCTGTGAAGCGCTTTGAGAAGTCCAGAAGACTTGAAAAGCACTATATCAAATGCAAGGATTATTATAATTATTATTATTATTTTAACGTGAACAAAGCCAGTTGACGTTGTTATACATTACAGTCTCCCTGCCCACCTCTCAGTCTATTCATTGTGAGTTCTAGTCCTGAAAGCTACATCATGTGAAAAGCATGGAAAATGATAAATGGCTTGTTCTATGATGTTGGAATGCAAATTACAGCATTAGTGATGGATAACTGGACTTTGTCAAGGTCCCAAAAACAAACTATCCCATCAGACATGAGGTGGTACTTTATACAGGCTCTGAACTATAATAATTATTGTATTTGTTATAGGCTGTGAATTATATTTTATATGGAGGATTGTTAGCACTTTCCCTTTGTTTATTGAATAGTGCCAGAGGAACTTTAGCGTTCACTTGAACAGACAGATGGGTTTAATGTCTGGTTAAGTGGCTCATTCTAAGGATAGCACTTATTACAACTGTGCTTCTCCAGCACTGCACTGGAATGTTAGCCTAGACTGGTTGAAGTTCGAGAGTGCGGCTTGAACACACAAACTACAGGGTTGCTACCAACTGAGCCAGGCTGAGTGATGGATAATCTCTCATGTTTCTCGTTTGGTGACATTTGCTAAGATGAAGCTGAACATACTGTAGGTAGATTGTTGCTACAATGATGTCATGAAATCAAACCAGAAAGTGCAGGAAATGTACAGCTGATCAATCAGCGTCTGCCAGAGAACGTTTAATTATGACAGATTTGAACATGATCCCACCAGTTTTGTCTCTTGTAATGATTTCAGTCTGTGTGGTGACTGCCTGGCTTGTTAATTAATAATGAATTGCTTTCTACAGGTTCGCAACGAAAGAGAGAAATGCCTTGCTGCTTTACAATGGGCGGTTTAATGAAAAACATGACTTCATTGCATTGGAGATCATTGAAGAACAAATCCAGCTGACGTTCTCAGCAGGTAAGGCACCAATTGCAATCTGTTCCCTCCGTGTGGGTTATACAGTAAATCGCTAAAGATTTCTGTTTTCCAGAGTGAACGGTGGTTATCAGCAGGGCCAGTTAACATTCACAGACACAGAGACACACACTCAGACACAGAGAGCGACACACTCACAGACACAGAGACACACGCAAAATTATGCACTGATTCAGACCTAACAACTGGAGGGCCTCTTGTGATTGCTTTGTGGTCCTGATAACTAGCATTTTATGTGTGTGTTGTTGGCTCATTAGACCTCTGTTTATACAATCTAATGAATGTCGGACATCTGCTTTTAATTAACTTTACATCTTGCACTCATGTCTGAATTTACTAGACCTCATTATTCATATGTTTTTATCCAAATTGTTACTTTTTTTTACAAGCTAAAACTATTTTCCTGATTAGGGTTAAATCATTTAAGTTTCTGGAACAACCTGATAGCTTTTGCCTCTTTTACCAAATGTGTAGAAGTGTTTGGAAAATCCAGTTTAAAGTGATTCAGCTATTCCTGTCTCATGACTGACTGGCACTCAAGCTCACTGGCCTTGTTTGGGATATTCTCAAATGGTTTTGCACCCCACTGCCACTGCCTTACCCCCAGAGTAGGCAAAACCTTCATCCACATCTTTGTGACCTGCTCGCTAGTTTCCCTAGCTTCACCCTCGACAAGTTCCCTATCATCCAGAATTCTGCAGCCCTCTAGGCTATGTGATCCCAACATCCCATACTTGACCAACTCTACTTGCTTCCCATCCTCCAGCAGATTGACTTAAAGGGCAATGTCCTTTCCTCATTGTACCTGTGTGATCTCCTGTGGTCCTATGCCTCTGCCCCACCAACTCTAGCCTGCTTCATGCCCTCACTTGCTCCACCCTGACGTAGGAGGGTGAGCTTTCAGCCATTTTGAACACCATATGGAATTCTTCTGCCTTTACCCTTTCTCTCCGTTCTCAAAATTCATCTTCATTCCATTTTGTCATTTGATTCAAGGGAGTGATCCAATTTCTTCTCATGTATTTTGTTCTTCACCTGTGGCTTACAAAAGGTTTAATGCTTAATATTGTGACACACTTATGGTCCAGATTTGTACAACATCAGCGTAATGTTGAGCTTTGTTCTTCGTAAGACAAATGGAATGCCAAGGTCTCCACCATACAGTAGCTCTCCATATACGTTCTGTTGGGAGGCGGTCTTTTAAATCCACAGTGAGCTGGCAGGCTTCAGTCAGTGGAAAAAATTACAAATGACAAAGAAAAACCTGTTAGCAATTTGGCTATCTGATCGATGATCAGAATACTTGAGTAAATGTGAACATAAGGGCAGGGGAATTTCAGGCTGCTTTTCACTAACCTGCTCTCCTGTACATCATGAACCAGAGGTTAGGCAGCTTCTAAATTATGTTCACTTAACTCCCCTTTCTTCTCAGTGAGGACATTTATAGATCTTTTTAAAGTTTGGTTCATATCTATTGAACTATTTTCATGCTTTAGTGCAATAGATATGATGTGCATACTATGCTTAAATACATTTAAAAAGTCACATTGTAAAAAATATTTTGAGATTGGAAAACTTTTAATACCTTTTAATGACAATTCCGCAAACCACTCACTTCACAGATGTTTGTGGAATATTGATGTGGGCAAATGGTTATTGAGTTCACCTACAAAAGTACCCAGTCACTACACTTTGCAGTAAATTTTGTGAAGCACTTTGAGCCTGTCCTCATGAAAGTTCTATATCCAGGAATCATTCTTGTTGGTTCTCTCTGACCCCTCTCGGATGCTTCAAGGTCTTAGTCCGGCCAGCATTTCACAAACATGGTTTCATCAGTATCCACACAAAGCTGGAACAACACATTTCAATTTGTAACATTAATACCTGAGATGTATCTCAATATTTAATTTGTTTTGTTGTTGATTGTTTCATATTGTCTGGAAACTTGCAATGTAAAAACAACAATAATAATAGTTAAATCCTTTTCTTCCTCCTCCACTTTACAAATGGGCGCCCCTTCACTGGACATACCAATTTGCTGTTTAAACGTGCGTGTATTTATCTACATTAAAATCAATCTGCCGCTAGTCAATCTATTTATTTGGCCCATATCTCCTTAGCTGTTTGAAAGATCAATCTCACCATTACGCAGAGAGAAGCATCTGTTGTCTCTTGGAGACTTCATATCCATGTGACTGTGAATACTTTCAGTTTTAAATTTTACAGAATTTAAAATGTTTCAGCAGTGCTTGTGTTTACGTCTCAACAGCCTAAGATATTAAAGGTTCTATTCCTGCCACTTGTGCACAGTTTTATGATCTGCCTAAATAGACTACTGAATTGACTAATAATTATAGGTTATTTTTTTTCAAAAGCATATTTTGGTTCATTTGCCATAACTTGGCTGCTTGGATGATGGGAACCAGATGCTGTTAGAGAAAAGCAAGCCAGATGCTTGACTTTGCTTTCACTGCCTGCTTCAAGTTACTTTTCGAATTGCACGGAAGCCTTGAAGTTTAAAGCACAATGATGGATATATTGGAGTCGGTTTAGCATTCAACTAAAGGCTGGAAGAGCAACAGAATATTGGAGACACTTCCAATCTAGTGCTGCCCTGTCACTAATACTTTGCACTCGTATTGGTTTGGGGCTAAGATGCTCATGCTTCATACGTGTGTATAGGCACGTTCCAGCACAGAGTGCATGTGTGACAAAGGAGTGAACAGTATACACTATGTAAGTGATGTTATTAACTTGTTGCTGGAAGCATTGCACCATCCATGGTCAACAGCATTTGGAACCAGAACAGCCGCATGTTAAACACAGCCCTGACAACAGAGTTGTCACATGTCTTCTCATCCTGCATCCTGTATCTGAAGATGTAAGGTACACACTGTAGGGTAAGGCTACTTGGAGCCATCTTAGATAACAATATACTTGTATTTAGTTGATAGCTTGTAGGATATATATTGTGACAAATGCTTGAGCCTACCTAAGTGCACAGGGGACATGTAAGTGGGCTGTGAGCAATAACAAAATACTAAGCTAATCATAGACTGACATGAAACATATTATGTTCCACTGACTGGCTGGCAATAAGAAGCAGCCAGGTCTGGAGCTTGATTTGAATTGGCGTTCTGCTGTATTAAGTTTCTGTATTTTATTCAGTATCAGTGGCATACAGAAACATGACAAGTTGGTACAAATTCAAAATGTATTCCTATAAATATGGAATAATTCAATGTATGTGCAGATACAGACAGTGGAGGGGCTACTGGCAGTTTGTTTATCGGATTCATTCAACTTAGGTCTGTTAGTTGTCTCCTGAAGTTCCAGTTGAACTAATATCTAAAATGTCCTTAAATCTTTTAAGGATTGTATCTCTTATTATCCATCTAGTTTATACAGTTCCAAATGTGTCTGATCTGGCACAGAGAACACAAGGAAGGCTACACCTGTAGCAAAACACTGAAGTGATTTCTATATTAAAGCAAAATGTGATACTGGCTTCCTCTGCCTATTGGGTAATGTCCTAACCAGACTGCAAACTCTTTAACAGGTGAATCTACAACCACAGTCGCACCCTTCATACGAGGTGGAGTAAGTGATGGACAGTGGCACTCGGTCCAGGTGCAGTACTATAACAAGGTAGGTAAACGACTAGATAATAGCGATCATTATATTAAGTGTCAGAATGGATGTTTTTTACTGATTGATTAAACTATGAATACTTTCAGTTTCTTAAAATATGTATTAACTTTTAATTAAAAAAAGTCTGTATTAACTTTTTTTGAACTGAGGTATTACAGCCATTTTCCAGAGTGCTACCCGATAGGCTATCACATCTTATTAGATCTTGGTTCGATTCCCGGCAGTTTCCTTACTCCACACTCCTCTGTTAACTACTCAGTGTTTCTCTTTGACTGAGCTGCAGTGTAGTCCTACTCTACGAAATTAACCAGTGTTTGTGAAGAACATTTTGTCTGTTTTATTCATTCGTTTCCTCAGGATACTAAATAATATGGAGCAAAGTGGGCAATGTTGCAAACTGCACATGCTGAATTTACAGCTTTTCTCATGTCAAACTCATTCTGTATCAATTATACAGTGAGATTCAAACATCTGCCACGTACTGGGAGCAGGTTAGAGTGAAGTAGCAGTCAGTCACCTCTGGCTCCGGTAGTTTTTTTTTACTGTTCCTACTGGGGTGATGAGGCCAGGAATAAAATGATGACATTTTGAATGGATTTCTCTGTAGTTATTATCTGGTTGTGTTGCTACCCTCCGGGAAGGTACCTTGCGAGAAGGACACTATATAAAAGTAAGATGATGTTGCCCAGTGAAATCTGTTTAGGATACAGAAAGCATCTAACTAATTAAGTAAGGACAGGTGGGGCGGGGGGAGTGATGGAGACAAGATGGGGAAATGGGATTAAAAGATCTGTCATTACAACACAAAAACAAAATTGATGGGTTGAATGGCCCACCCCTTTCTTATGTCAATGGCCTTCAACCAAATGATAATTCTTCATGCTTGAGTGAGTCTGAACAGTGTGTGACAGAAAGCAATTTGACAATAGAAAGTGTCACAATCGAGACTGATTCTTTTCTCACAGATGCACTCCCAGCAGGCAGGCAGGCATCACTGGACAGCAGTAAGCAGCAAGAATGATTACTTTTTTCCACCTAAACTTCTGGGGTGCTGAGTTTGATTGTAAAGTTCCATTCACACCTGAGATCAGGACAAAGTCATCCTGGTGTATGAAGCTCGATATCGGATAATGTGGTACATTTATTTACGGGTAGCAGACTAACCAAAATTGTAACTAGAAAGAAATAGAATTTAAACATCCTATCCTTCTGGCTCTATCATAGCTACCTAAATGTTCCAGGCTGCTCTCCTTCAGCCAGCAAATACTGCAGATTATTGACTACTCTCAGCTAAAAGGAAATACATTTTGCAGTTTAGAGGATTTGAAGGTATTTCCTCCTCATCTGAAGCTTTCCCTCCCCCCTCCTCTAACTCAAGGAATGGCCCCTGTTTCATCATATCCAATATTTATAACTTCTATTAGTTTCTGTTGTCATGACTGTCTTGTTACAGCCTATATCCACTTTGCATACTGACCCCGTATGACCCCAGGAACTGCCGTGACACAAGTAACCTATTACTAAAAAGGCCAATTGTTTTCCTGTAAATTCAATGAATACCAAGTCTGACTGCAAAGTCTTTCAGATGTTGGACCAAATGCAACTGTAGTTTTATCACACTAACCTTTTCCATTGCAGAGCTTGAACTGTATTTTGACTGTTGCCCCTTCCAAGGGCTGCTTAAGTTATTTTACACTGACTGTTTAAATGCATTTGTTGTGTCCACCAGAGTTATTGGATACATATTACAGTAGTAAACAACATATAGAAATGCCTTCAGACTGTTGACATTTAGCTTAGAAGACACTTGACCCTGAGACCCACTTTTTTGGGGTCAGCCAGGTGTCTTGACACATGCGGAAACCCATCACCATGCTTAAGAGTATTCAAACAAACAGAATTTCTTGCATTCCACCTACAGGTGGAAATGCCAGAGATATTTGTTGGAATGCAATGCTCATTCTCTCTCTGGAGGGATACATCCTGCTTCTCTTATTTCGGAAAGCATTACACACTTGTTGTGCGATAGTTCTCATCCCTGGATGTACCTGCGAATTTTATTAACGCTTTTGTACTAAGTGGCCTCTGCAGCTCTTCTAACCGTATCAGTGTGAGTCCCTATTCCAAAGGTGACTCAACCAAGTCACAGTCACACACAGACAGGTATTTCCAGTTAACCTCAATGCCTAGTAACTGGAATGTCTTGTTGTAGTCTGCTCACACTAGTAGATCTCCAAAGTTGACAACTACCCTCTGAAGTGCTTAGTCCTTTTCTTGTCTAAGATATATTTGAATAGGAACAACAGCTCTTTATTAAAACCTAGTAACCCTAGGCTACCTTGCATAAAAGGAACACAACTATGGAAGATATACAACCAATGGGATCAAAAATAACAACCACATATAACTATAACCACTGGCAGCACAATACTGCATTAGTAAATCTATATAAAACCAATCCTGCCTTTCTAGTAGCCCTGTACATGTCAGTATGTACTGGATGACAATCATTAGTTAGCGACCACAAGGAGCTCCGAACATAGCTTTATATAGCCATGTGTGGCTCTGCCCCCACCATATGATGTGAATGCAAGAGTTTTTTCCCGCGCTAGCGCCCACGTGTTGTTTTACTCTGCGGCTGCTTGTTTCGCTGACTCTCTATCAAGCAGCTCTGGACCTATACTTTATTGCAAACCCGTATATGCTGTTTGATAATTGTGCTGTAAGCAGCTTCTGCAACTTGGAATCTTACAGAATCCATTTAAAGGGGCAGGCCTCACCATTTCTCTTAAATGATATATAATTATGTATACATATTATTTACACATTACAAAACACTGCAAGAATAGGGTAACTGTGACAATTGGTAAGAGCCAAGGCTTGGGGACCCAGAGTGTATGTTGGGGTAGTGCTGTAGTCTAACCTATTAAAACCACGTAGCTTGCCATTGAGAACGCTGCCTGGCAAGCTTTCCTGCTGCTTGTACAACTAGGACCACCCTACCCATTAGGGCTTCAGATAGCAGGGTTAACGAGAGCTGAGTGGGAAGAGTCTCTGCCGCCAATGACTAGTCTGTCCTTCCACCTTACTGATGAGCCAGGCTGGCTGTGCTGTCATCAACAGGGCCCAGGGCCCCGGCTGGCTCAGAAACTGGGCTACTGAGACCGCCATAGACGGTGGACTCAATTCTAACATTCTGTTGCAAAGCATGTCACCTTGGAGCCAGTTTAGCTCCAAGGAGACGTTGTTTACCTTCACACCCCCCACTCCTGTCCCCGTCTCACCCCGGAGGATAGTCACAGGTTGGTCATTTGACATCCAACAAGCGTGGGTTTGAGCCGGTGGGAAACACAGTTCAGCATGAAATGCGTGAGAGCATGGCCACCATCTTCGATGTCCATAGCCTGGACACGCATCTCTTCCCATCGAGCAATGGTTCCTCCAGTTGGAGGTGCGGAGCTTGAGCAGCAGCTTCTTACCTCTGGACGGTGGACAGAGAACCAGCACTAAACACAAAATACTGCAGTTGCTTGAAAACAAAAACAGAAGTCGCTGGGAACACTCAGCAGCATCTACAGAGAAAGGAAAGTGAGTCAATGTTTCAGCAAGATCTGAGGGGTCAGAACGTCCAGTTCAGTTCTGATGAAGGGTCGAGGACCCGAAACATTGACTCATTTTTCTTTCTCCATAGATGCTGCCTGATCTGCTGAGTGTTCCCAGCGACTTCTGTTTTTGTTTTCAGAGAACCAGCACTGATGTCCAACCATTGACCAACTGATGACTATCTTCCTGAGGGTTGGGAAGGGGGTAGTAGGTAAACAGGGGTAGCTTTGGAGCTAAACCTGCGCCAAGGTGACATACTTGGCAACAGAATGACAAAATCAGGTGTGTGGTGCAGTACTCTAGGCCACTACTGATGAAAGACCAGCCAGTCTGGCTCGTCAGCAGGATCTGAGGCGGCAGACCTGTCTCTAGGTATAGAATTGTTCCCATATGTTACATATGTACATAGAACTTTGTCTGGTTTGGATAAATGGTGATGGGTTTCCACATGTGTCAAACATCTGGATACCCAAACAGAACTGGACTAAGTTTCTCCTGACTGAAGTTGATGCAGGCTGATTACCTTCAAACTGATAGTCCAGTCCAATGTAATCCCATCAACTAGGATTCAGCTAGATCCAGATGTGACTAGAAATTTCAAAGATCTTATAAATCCATTCTGTGGCTAACTCTGCCCTTTAATAGCCAGCAAAATATTTTTTTTTACCTTTCATACATTTAAGTGCAAGACATGTGGGTGGTCTTGCAGTACCATACAATAGACATACAGTAAAATAGTTAACCCACACTTCCATTTAAGAAAGATCTTAAGAGCTCGTAAGATAAGTTAATTTTATGGGTGTTGTGAATTGTGACAGGTGAAGAATATTATTGTTTAGAATCATATTCCTTCCATTTTCTCCTGAATAGTTAATAGATGCAGTTTCCCAACTTTTTGACATGAACTTCTGTGCAGAATGTGACTGGGGAATTCATAGCTTCCTGTTTCAAATTAGTTCGTCGGCTGCTGCATTCATCATAAAGTTTAAAGGTTTATGATCTGAGGCGCTGCTTTTGAAAGACAGGAAGATAATATTGAAGCAGTTTTCATGGTTTGTTTTCATAACATGGACAACAGATAAAAAAAACAACATCATTGTGGAACTTACCGAGTTGGCTTGCCAGGACCAACATTGCAGTTCACAAAGGGCTGAAGACTGTCACCCGAAAGAGTTAAAATCCAATGAGCTTTCAACAGTCAGATTACAGCCAGGCCCAATCACTTTAGCTGGATCTAACCCATGTTCTTGCATATTAATGCTGATGTGAAATGTGCTTCATGCTGTGTTGATATTTTAATGACAGCCCAGAGTGATAGATGGTTTTAAAGCGAGCCAAGCTCCTGGGATGAATGATGCACTGTGGCTTTTGGGATCTGTAGTGCATTCTGAGAA